TGGTGATGGTGGCAGTGATGTTGCTGGTAGTAATGATGGTGGCGGTGATGTTGGTTGGTAGTAATGGTGATGGTGGCGGTGATGTTGGTTGGTAGTAATGGTGATGGTGGCGGTGATGTTGATTAGTAGTAATGGTGTCATTTATTTAGACCTTCGTAAAGAGGGGAAGTACAACCTGATATGAGCCCCAAATCTGTCTGCAGAGCTCACACTGTAAATTAGAAGTCAGCAAACTTCCTGTGAAAGGCCTGCTGGTGAATATTTTAAACTTTGAGGCCATTCAATTTCTGTCACAACTGTGCACCTCCCTGCCATTCGAGCACAAAAACTACCATAGACAATACATAAACAACTGATCAGGTTGTGGTTCATAAAAATTCATTTACAAAACCAGATCATAATGTGCCAATCCCTCGACTAAACCAGTGTGTAGTATTTGGTTCTTCTAAAATGTGACACTTCACATGGTCTTCTGTGGTTATCGGCCTGACTCTAGACTTCTTTCTAAAGACTAGGCTACCTGCAGCATAATTTCATCCTCAAATAAAAGAGCTTTTACATATTGGTCATATTATAAATTATTATTATGATTAATAGAAATTCTTAGTAGTGGAAGCCAGAGTGTTTTGGGTTATAAAGAGCAGGTTTTCATCCTAGTTCAAGTACTTATTAACTGGAGATTTTAAGGCACCACTTAACCTCTCTGAATCCCTACTATGCTTCTCTTTCAAGATTGCCAGCGAGAGGGAGTGAAAGGCATATGACCCCTTCACCAGCATTTAGCTGCCCACCCAAAGACTTCATTAAAATGCAGGACTTATTCTTGCCAGTCCCAGACATGTCACACCCCTAAAGAAGGCAGGAAAGAAGCTGAGGCTGTGGGCAGGGTTGTCCTACCCTCATTTGGCCCTGCCTCTGCCTCCTCTCTCTCACAGGTGAACCTGTACTCGGACCCCCCTCAGCCCAGTCATAGTGTCCACGTGGGGACAGTGTCCCAGGGGAGCAAAGTCTTGTCCTTCACCATTCCTCAGCCCCGCACAGCGGAGTGGCAGCCAGGCCCCACAGAAACCTCTCGGGCCTGTGAGGTCTCGGGTAAGTCTGAGAAAGGACATGGGCTCAGGGTCCCACCTGGTCATGATTCTGCCTTTGGGGATTATGTCCACCCTGGGATGACAGTCACTTCAGGTTGGGATAAGGTGAAGTGAGCCCTTCTTTGGGGACCTTTGACTTGAAGAAGTCAAGTGGAGAAGTGGAAAGTACATTATACCACGTGGAGCAAGGGAGCCTGTTCAAGGTCTGCCTCAGCCACTTGAGCTGGGCCGTTTTGGGCGAGGTCCCTAACAGAAAACGGTGTCATTAAGAAACCTTATTGTGGCCAAGCCTTGCACTAAGCCCTCTTCAGCTGTGATCTCAGTCAATCCCACATCCGCCTGGTGAGGCCTATACTGTTGTCTTCTCATTGACAGTTACAATGGCCAAGGCTTAGAGAGGTGACATGCAGGTCACACAGTTCCTATGTAGAGAGTCCAGGACTTGAACCTACTACTTTCTTAGTAGGTTAGACCCCCTCTATGACCACACAGTGAGGTGGCTCGGCTTGGTGGGAAAAGTAAACAACCAGCATCCAGAAGTCCAGCTTTAGTTCCCTTTCTTTAAGAGGTGCCCTTTAGGACAGACATAAACCTTGATCTCATGGATTAGTTGGGACACGTTCTGCTGTGCCCACAGGCTCAGGCTGCTGTTGATGGTGGAGGAGTTATGAGATTGAAAATTGTCTTGTAGCCCCTGGAAGGGCTGCTCTTGACTCCAGCCCTCAGTGGTCATCTATTCCAGGGTGGCAGTCTTCCCAGCAAGGCCAGAGCCCCTCCTCACCCACCAGTGCCTCCAGCCCAGGGTGGCCTCCTGGGAGCCAGGGTGTCACGAAGGACCAGCCCTCAGTGGAGCAGACTCACACACTGACTTCTCAAACCAGCCAGTTCCTGGCCAAGGTGAGTGGACTCCTCCCTGGCTGCTTGGACATTGCTGGCTTGTCCATTTCTCTGCCTAAAGCTGAATGTTACTCAGCCTTCTGGTAAATGTGGGCCCCTCCCCGACCCTCAGACCACATGGCTCCAGCCTCCTCTTTGCCACTCACAGTCGAGTTTAACCTCTTTTGCTTTGATCTCTAGTCTCAGCTCATCTCTCCAGATGTGGTTGAGAATGCCTCCTTTCAGCTTTAGAAGAAGACTCAGCACCGTCAAGATCCTGGGAGAGTAATAGACTTTCACCCTAATTTCTCTCTTCAGGCTAGATGGCTCCGCTTTCTAAGTTATGTCATCTGAGAAATCACCTTTAGATTCTTGTCAAACAGTCCAAAAACTGAATTGTTGGTCCTCGATTGTTGGTACACACTTGGCCTCATTCCCAAAGTGCTTTAAAGCATCTTACGAAGAGGAGTATGTTACAGACACATGCTGGAAAGGACAGTGAGGCCACTAGAGGAAAGGGGAAGTAAGAGTAGGGGGAAAAAATAGCTTGAATTTAGGACGAAATGAGTAAACACAGTTTACTGAACTGCAGGCCCTGAACACTTTTACCAGAGTCGGCCCTTTGCTTCTCAGCTTCCTTGTTGTTGATGCAAAAAGGGAAATGTGGTAGTTACATGTACTACTGTGTCCCTCTGGGACAAACTAATTCCTTCAGAAAAACACCACTGTTCTTCCAACAACTTCATTGAACCATCTGCCCCTGGGTTGGCAGCGCAGCTCCTTACCCATTAGTCCACCAGGGCTCACTTTCTGTACCTGAGGCCTCCTTAAGGTAGAAATGCTATAATGTAAGTATGTATTGTAAACATATGCAAATATGTATCATTTTATACACGTGATACTAGTATTATATGGGAACTCTTGTGACCTTCCATTACATGATATATAAATTATATCTATTTACTTATATACAGTAAACATATGCCGATATGTAACATTTTATATACATATAGTACTAGCTCTGGTGGCCTGGTGGTAAGAAGCTGTGCTGCAATCCCAGAGTCTCACGGTTGGAGTCCACCAGCTGCTCCATGGGAGTAGGATGGACAATCTCTTCCCGTGTGATTTGCTACCTCTGAACACCCCTAGCAGGGTAATAGCTACAGTAAGTTTATGATACTATTATGTTACTGGCTATTTGCAAAAAGGGGCCTTCAATTTGTTCTTAGCCTTTTTTTACCAATTATTTTTTTTTGTCATAGATAAAACACACAGATAGTAAAATCCACATGGCACAAGGCATAGGTTTAATGAAAAGTAATTCTTTTCTCCCACCTTTGACCTTCTGCCCCATAATTCCTTAAAGTCTTCCTGCTCCCAGTGTTCTGAGCTTCAAGTAGAAATGTTGAGTGCACACGCGTGCAGTCACAGAAAGGTTCCCTAACTAGGTACACTATACTGAACTTTGACTTTCTTGATGTCCTATATGTAAATATTTATTTTGGCATAGACAATGAATTCACATGGTTTAAAGTTCAAAAGGAAAAAAAGATACGCAGTAGAAAATCTCTCATCTTTGGCCCTGGACATCCAGCTTTCCTTCCATTTCTTCTAAAATTAGTTCATCATGTTATTAAGTGTCATCAAGTCGTAGATGACTCCTAGTGACCCTATGAATGAAAGACCTGAACCCTGTTGTATTACTATTATTATCAGTTCACCATACACAGACAAATAAGTTCTGAGGGATTTTTATTCCATTTTTTTGTTTGTTTGTTTTCAAATGGTAACACACTATCCACACTGCTCAGTGCCTTGCCTTCAAGTGGATAGTGAATCTTGGAGTTGTTCAGAACATACAGATGTGCTCTCCTCCGGTCAATGACGCACCCTACCAGAGAGAGGTCATTGTTTTTAGGTGTCGTCCGAGCTGACTCCGACTCAGTCTTAGGAATAACAGATCTGAACCTTGCCCTGTCCTGCGCTGTCTTCGTGAGCGCCTCCTTGCACAAGTCTGTTGTTGCGACCGCTGTCACTCCTTCTTGTGCAGGACTTCCTCTGTTCCGCTGACCCTCTTCTTTTCCTAGAATGCTCTTTTTCCCCGATCACTGATGCCCTCTAACATCATGCCTAAAGTTTGTGAGGCCAAGTCTCATTGTCCTTGCCTCCAAGGAGCCTCTTATTAGTTAGCCCTGTTCCTCTCTCTTCCTCCATCCCTGGAAGGTTCCACTCTGAACATGCAACCACTGAAAACTCTATAAAGCATTGGACTGCCTGGCCAAGGCCAATGGTGGGGTTGGCTTCCAGTGCCACCCTCACCCCAAGACCAGGCCCAGCTTCTCCTGCCAAATTGTGGATACGATCGATGTGTGACTCTGCAGGAGCCTTCTTCCCACGTCCAGGTTAATGGGGCGTGTTCTTTTCCTCTCCATGTGCAGGTGGAATCCTTTGAAAGCCTGGTGTCCGCAGGACATCTCACACCGCAGGATCAGCTCAAGGTAACTGCCCAGCTTGGGAGCTGCCCCCAGAGCTTCCCACTTCCCACAGCTGAGTCTGAAGCCTCTTCTGCTGCAAACCAGAGAATCCCAGACACAGCGACTCCTTTTACCACAAACAGCTCCTGCCTGGCTTTCCATAATGATAATCATTATAGCACAGTCGTTACCGCTTATTAAGCAGTGATGCCGTGTGTTGGGTACATTAATGTACATCATTGCATCTTCCCATTGTGCAAATGCAATGAGGCAGTTACAGTCATCACCTGCATGTCGCTGGATGGAACTGAGCCCAGCTTGCAGGCAGCAGGGCCTGGACCCTGACACCTCCTGCCTGGCTCCCAGCTCCAGGGTCATGCGCATTTCTCTGCTTCCTGCTAATTATCTGCAGCCAGAAAAACACTTTCTCTCTTCTGCTTGTCTTCCATTTGCCAAAAATGCTCCAGTAAATGCGCAGTGATGTTAATTACCATTAGCAATAGCAGGACGGCTTTGTCTGTATTGATAGTCTGTACGAATTGAAGACAAGACTGACTGTCCACAGCCCACAGTTTTGCAAATCAAGAATGAGAATGCAAGTTGTTATGCAGACCTGAAGATAGTCTTTGACACTTGGATTGTTTTAGAACTTAGGCGTCCTTATGTGATCATGATTGAGCCCTGGTGGCTCAGTGAGTGTTGATGTGTCAAGTCAGACCTGACTCACAGCTGACCCTCCAGTGTGTTTTTGGAGGCTGTAAATCACATGGGAGAAGATTGGCTATCTTCCTTCCTCAGAGCAGCTCGTAATTTTGAACTATCTCCCTTTGGCTTAGCAGAGGACCTCTTTACCCACTAGGCCACTGGGGAGTTGCTAACCCCAAGACCACACCTCTGTGGCAGTTCAAGTCCTCCAGGGGCTCTGAAATGCACACTCTTCTCTCAAATGATTTACAATCTCAGAAACCAAAGGGAAGGAGGCTCTAAGTTGGTTCCAGTGGAGTAAATTTTGAGATTTTAGTCTCCGTGGCAAACACTGGCCCCTTCCAGAGAGCTGGCATTAAAGCTCTAAACCAGACGTCTGCTGTGCCCAGCTGGTGGTAGAGGGCTCCTTGGGGGAGGGCTAGACAAGGGCAGGCTAACTCCAGAGGTTCCAGCCTCAGCCTCTGTCTCCCAGGGACTCTCTCTCTGTAGACCCAGAGTGACTCCCACAGACCATCTTGTCCTCAGGGACAGAGCCTGGAGCCTAGACACTCAGATCCTCTGTTCTGCTCTGCTCTGTCCTAGGGCTTCCAGGGACTGAAAGCTGCCCACGCAGCCCTCGAGGAGGAGTACCTGAAGGCCTGCAGGGACCAACACCTGGCTGAGCAGCCTGCCAGCTCTGAGGGGAAACCAGGGAAATTCGATCCTGGCAGGTACGTGCAGGAGTTGGGAGGCCCCAGAATGACAGCTGGGACAGTTCTTCAGTTCCCTTGGTCACCAGGAGGGAGGTGGCCACCCTTATAGTTCTTATTCAGGAGCACAGCTCCCTGTTGCAGGGAGCAACATACCCAAATGGTGGAATACTGGAAATCTGAGCCAGTAGGTGCCATTGAGCTCAAAGCAGTGAGAAAAGGGATCTTGCATATAAGAGACATAACCCTTCACTGGACAGTGAGGAGACTGGGATTGGAGGGGAGGGTTTCCTCCTGGTCCCATGGCCTCTTGGGGCAGAGGGGAGATGAGGCCCCATGGTTCCCAGTGGTGGCTTCTTTCATCTTGTTTATGTCAAGTCTCCAACATAACGTGGTCGATGATACTCACTGGTCCCCAGGAGAACATTCTGCGGTGGCCCCTGCTCTGAATCATAGCCTTCCATGTCTATCTGATATGTTCCTGTCCAGGATCACAGTATATGCCTGCCTGTTTTAGGGAGCTGGCAGCAGAGATATTCCAGCTGGGAAATCGTCTGGAAGAATTCAAGGACCGCTTAGATTGGCACCAGCAGGAGCCTGAGCGAACAGAGCCAGACTCCACACTGGACAGCACGCTGGCCTTACCTACCCCTGGCCACCTATCCAACCTGCCTTCTCCTTCCATCCAAGCCCTCACACCAGCCATCCGGAACCCCTACCCTGAGGTAATTCTCTGCTCGGCAATGTTGGCTTCTTATTCTTTCATTCTGTTATCAGATATTTACAAAGCATATACCATCTAAGGACTCCAAGACAAATACTGGCTCCTTGCTGCTAAATTTGAAGCAACTCATAGCTGACCTTCCATGGGGTTTCAGAGGCCGCACATGCGCTGGAGATTGACCATCTTTCCCCACAGAGCCACTGGTGGGTTTGAACCACCAGAGAAGCTGCACCTTTGCATTAGCCGTGCGACTCCCTACAGACTGCCACCAGGGCTCCCTCTACAGCCAATATTTTGAGATTTTTCAATATTTGAAATTATTTTTCCTATTATATAAAATTATTTATTTATTTATTTACTTTCAATTGTATTTCTTTTTAAATATTTGAAAATCCTCATTGCTGCTGAGTTTGAGCAGACTCCTAGCTGACCCTCCAGTGGTTTTCAGAGGCAGTAAATCACACAGGAGAGTGCTCCCCTTTCTCCCGTGTAGCAGCTTGTGGACTCTGCCTGCCCTTAGGTTATCAGAGCAGCTCCTCACCCCCTAGGCTACCACATGAAGATTATTCTATTCCATTAAAACTATGTGTGGCCAAGTGAGTCTGGGAACTTTTCTGGGATGAAGGAAGGAAGAGATGAGGGTGATATTGAGGCTTCCCCCTGGTCATGGAGATGAGCTCACTGAAAACTGTCTATCCCAGACAGACTCTCAGCCTAGGAAAACGGAACCATATAATCAGGATAGCTGGTATTTAGTTTTTAAGGGAATAATACTCCTCTGGGGTAGCATTATTACAGGGGGGGATAGTAATGCCAGGACCTATACAAGTGGCAGAGATTTAAAAGAGGTAGTCTCTGTTCTGTCCTCAGAGAGTTTTCTGTTTAGGTGAAGATGTAAGATAGTTGTACAGTTACTTAATTCTAATTTTTTATCAGTGCATTGAAAGAGAATTATGAGGTCTGCGGACGTGAGTATCAAATAACATACAGAATTTGGGGAAACAGAGCAGCTTTGCTGGAGAAAGTAATACTGAAAGAACAAGCAGGAATAGCTGGGCATAGAGGGGAAAGCCATTCAGACACAAGGAGCCTGTGCAAAGGCCCTGTGGCTGGAATGTGAATGTGAGAAGTATAGTTGTCTGAGGTTTGACTCAGGTAGGAACTATGTGCTAGAACATGTTATGGTGTCACATCAAGGGTGTGGTTGTAAACTCTGCAGGGGTTTCTCTAAGTAAGGTGACATTGAAGGATGAAAGGCTGCTATTGTAACCTGTAGGAAGTTCCAGTAGCATAGTGGATAAGAAGTTGGGCTGCCAACCCAAAGGCACACAGTTCATATTCACCCGCTGCTCCACAGGAGAAAGATGGACAGTCCCCTCCCATATGATTTACAGACTTGAAAACCCAATGTAGCATCTGCTAGGAGTCCATTCTGATTGGAAATCAATGACTTTTGGGTTATTGTGACCCATATCAGTGCCAGACAAATGGAGAGATGTATGTGAACTTGAGAGATGTATGTGAACTTGGGAGAGGTTTAGAAGGTACATTTGATTGTACTTGGAATGACGACAGGGAAGGGAGACTAGGCTTTCAGCTTCTAGAACCAGATGGATGATGGAGCCATTTGCAAAGATGAAAAGTATCTCAAATAAGCATTGAACATTGAAGGTGCTCTGCAGAATTCTCTTCAGGCCCTGCCACACTCACGAGTGACAATTACCATTTCACTTTGCAGCTGAGGAAACTAAGCTTAGAGACGCCACACCGGGTGGTGGTATGGGGATTGCTGTGCCTCCAGGCTCCTTGATGTCTGTGCTGTTAGGACTTGTCTGGTGAGGACTGGAGTAGGGGAAAGCGGACTATCAGTGGAATATCCATGACAGATGAGGTCTTGGTGGCCCAGTGATTTGGAGAAAATGTCCTTCCACTCTGCTCTGCTTCAGAGGGTATAGAAATTCTTCTGAAGGTATCTCATGTACTAAGGAACAAAAACTTAAGAGCTAAAATCTTGATAATCTCCCCTCCTCCCACCTCCTCCTCCAAGAAGGTGCTTTTGTCAATGAGAGTGGCCATCTTGGAAAGGGCTCAGGAGACATGTTTCTGCCAGGAAATCTGGGTTCAGATACCAACTCTGCCACTTTCTCTATGGGACTTTTGGCAAATCATTCTACTTCGTTGAACCTTGGTGACCCGTCATATGATGTGTTGTCATAACCGCGTGTACTAGTGGGATTTTTGTGAGTACCATGCCTATTACCTTGTAGGTGCTTAATCTTTAAATAGGAGCCAGTACTGCTGTTCACATATCCAGTTCTCACATTTTTCCTCGTGTCTAAAAGCATCAGAAGACATATTGCCCTGGGTAAATCTGTAGTCAGGACCTCTCCAAATTATTGAGGAGCAGTGATGCTCAGTTTAAGGACAAAGGTGTGTCTGATTCAGATCATGGTCTTTTCAATCAACTTGCTGTGCATCTAACAGCTGGACAGTGAAGGGGGATGACAGAAGAATTGATGCCTTTGAATTATGATGTTGGGAAAGAGTAATGATCATCCCATGGGCTGTCAAAAGAACAAACAGATATGTCTTGGAGAAGGTACACCAGAGTGCTCCTTGGAGGCAAAATAACAAAGCTTTGCCTCACATGCTTTGAACATGTCTCTAGGAGAGGTTATTCCTTGGAGAAGGACATCGTACTTGGAAAGCTGAACAGTCAGCAAAAGAGAGGAAGACCCTCCCCTAGATGGATTGGTGCCGTGACTGCAGTAATGGGCTTGAGTATGTCAGAGATTGTGAAGAGGGCACAGGATAGGGCAGGGTACACACCGGTTGTTTCTAGATAGGGTCACTTTGAGTCATGTTCGACTTGACAGCACCTAACAACAACAAAAGCGTGGTAGAGTTAGTGAGTCTAATCTGTCTCCCAGTTCTCATCACAAAGCAAGATACCGGCACAAGGTTGGTGCTTTGAAAGTGGTGTTAACGGAATCTCTGCCCCTCCATCTTTCTGCTCCCCAGCCCCCCACTACTGTGACTGATCCCTGCTCTTTGCACGTGGACGTGGACGTGAGCTCTGTAAGCGGGGAGCTGGAGGGCAGGTTCCAGACCCCGCTCAGGCACAAGGAACTGCAGATGGAGCAAGATTTCCATGGCCTCCTGAAGCGGTGAGTCCCCAGGAGCAAGGACAGCTGCCTCAGCCAAGGTGGCCACCCGTCCTGACCAGAGGTCATGCCTATCTGTGTTCTCTGCAGGTACATCAGCATGAAGTCCCTTCCGGAAGCCATGATGGTAGAGGAAGAGGATGAGGAAGAAGAGCAAAGGCATTCCCCAGGAGCAGATGGGCTGACTCTACCTGCAGGGAAAGGAGAGGCCACCAGGTTCACCTCCAAACAGCTCCAGAGACAGGCTGAGAGAAGTCATGGTTCCCCACTCAGGTATGTCAGCCAGCATCCCTGTTACCCCATGCCAGCTCTGAAACAAGCAGAAGGGCTGGCAGTCATCATAGCAGGCTAAATGGCTTTTTATAGTTTAGAAATTGCTGTCCTGTCCTCAGCAGCTCTCTAGAATGTACTCCATGGACAGCACCTGAAAGGGTTGTGGGTGACATGGGCGTGATTTCAGGTAGGACGGATGCAACATTCAAAAACACTGTTCTCCCTCTTGGTTGCAGTGCTGATTGCATCAAGGAGAACATCTCTGTTCGTGCTCTGAAGATTTTAACACCTCTCTCGATCTCCTTTAAAGAGAGAGAACATGAGCGTGCAGAAGCAGAGCTTAGGCCATGCTGCCGCTTATACTTACTTTTTTAAAAATTGCACATAGTTTATATTCAAGTTCCTTTTTCATCATTTTTTTTTTAAATACTGGTTTATTTATAAAGTTAGTATACATTGTATTTCATACCAGATCTTTCCCATTTGCTTCAACCACCCCTCTCTCCACCCATCAAATTGTACAAACTAATGATTAACCACCCCTGCTCATCCTCACCCCTCTGTTTCCCGCCCCCCTTGGATCCTCATACTCCTTCTACAATAATGGTGTCATACAATATTTGTCCTTATGTGACTGAGTTACTTCACTCAGCATAATGCTCTCTAGACCCTCCCAAGTTAGGTAGTAATTTGCAAAATCATTGCTCCTGCATGCTGCTTAGTATTCCATCATGTGAAAGTACCATAATATACTTACTTATTTTTAATCTTTTTTTAAAATTTTATTTTATTAATTTTAATGAACATTTACAGAGATTTTAGATTTCCATTCATTCATTGTTGCACTTTTTTCCCTGCCCACCCCTCCCCTCTCCCTTCACTCGTCTCATTGAAAAGTAAAAGAAAAATTCTTTCATTGGTATACAATCCCCCCTGCACTCTCCCCACTTCCCCAATACACTCCATTATGCAACCTTAATTCTGGACTCTTGTGATAACCGTAATACCTTATCCTATATCACTTTAAATTGGTCTCTCCCTCATCTGTTTCAATGCAGTATACATAATTTATCCAGTTTAGTCTTACCCCAACCCTGATGTCTGTCCCATTCTACAACAGTGTCACCATGCAGTATTTGTCCTTTTGTGACTGAGATATTTCACTCAGCATAATGTCCTCCAGAGTCAACCATTTTGAATAATATTGCATGAGTTCCTTGTTTTTCAAAGCAGCACAGAATTCCATTGTGTAAATATACCACAGCTTCTCTATCCATTCGTTTGTTGATGGGCACTTGGGTTGTTTCCAACTCCTTGCTATTGTGAACAAAGCCGTGATAAACATGGGTGTGCATATTTTTAATCTTTATATACATATTTGTTGTTCTGTTATGTGCCATCAAGTCACCTGTGACTCATAGTGACCCTATGTACAATAGCTCTGAACCCTGACCTATCCCGAGCCAGTCTTACTGACTCCAACACACCTATCCCTATTTCCCTAGTTACTACGTGAATCCATCTTACCAGGGTTCTCCTCTCCTGTGCTGTCCCTCCACCCTTCCAAGCATGATGTCCTTCTCTAGGGACTAGTCCCTCCTGGCCATGTGCCCCAAATATGTGAGGTGAAGCTTCAAAATCCTTGCCTCCAAGGAGAAACTTGGTTTCACCCTCTCCAGTACAGACCTATTTGTTCTCTTGGCAGCCCATGATATGTTCAATACTTTTCTCCAGCACCACAACTCAAAGGCACCAATCATTTTTCTGTCATCCATACACATCCCAGCTCTCTGATGCATAGCAAGTAATTGTGAAGACCATGGCCTGGATCAGGCATACATTATTCCCTAGACTGACATCTCTATTCTTTAGCTCTTTGAAGTGGTCCCTGACAGCAGACTTCCCCAGTGCAATTCATCTTTTGATTTCCTGACTGCTGGTGCCAGAATATTGATTGTGGAGCCAAGCAAGCTAATATTGTTAACAACCTCAGTCTCTTCTCTATCATGATGCTGCCATTTGGCCTTGTAATGAGAATCTATTTCTTCTTGATGTTGAGCTTCAGTCCGTATTAAAAACTATAGTCCTTTACTTTCTGCCACAAGTGCTTCAGGTCTTCCTCAGTTTCAGCAAGCAAGGCTATGACATCTGCATATTGCAGGTTGTTGAGGAGTCTTCCTCCAATCTTGGTGTCACATTCCTCCTAATAAAACCCAACCTCCCAAATGATCTGTTCTGCACATAGATTGAAAAGGTATGGAGACAGGAGTGCATCACAGACACACGCCTTTCCTGATTTTGAACTATGTAGTGTTCCCTTGCTCTGTTCTGAGAACTGCTTCTTGGTCCAAGTATAGGTTTCTCATGAGCACAATCAAGTGTTCTGGGATTCATTCCCATTGTTCTCAAGGTTAGCCACAAATTATTATGATCCACACAGTCAAATACCTTTGCACAGTCAATGGAACACAGACATTCCTGTGATACTCTTTGCTTTCTACTAAGATCCATGTGATATTAGTATTAATGTCCCTGGGCCACAGCCTCTTCTAAATCCAGCTTGTATTTCTGGTAGTTTTCTATCAATGTACCTTTTGGATAATCTACAGCAGGATTTTGCTTGCATGTGATATTACTGATTTGATAATTTTCACACTCTGTGGGTCACTTTTTTTTGGAATAGGAATAAATATGGGTCTCTTCTAGTCAATAGTTCAGGTAGTTGTCCTCCAGATTTTTTGGCCCAACCTGGTGAGCACATCCAGGGCAGCATCTGTTTCCCGAAATAGGTCAATTGGTATTCTATCAATTCCTGGGGCCTTTTTTTGCCGAGTCCTTCAGAGTAGCTTGAACTTCCTCCTTTATCACCACTGCCTCTTGATCATATGTAGTTTCATGAAATTATTCTGTGTCAGCCAATTCTTTTTGGTAGAGTGGCTCTGAATACTCCTTCTATCTTCTTTTAACACTGGATCTTTCAGTATTCTGCCCATAGCATCTTAAGTATTGCAGTTTGATGCTTGAATTTGTTCTTTAGTTTCTTCAGCTTAAGAAATGCCTAGTGAATTTTGGCCTTTTGATTTTCTGACTCCAGCTCTTTGCACATTTCATTATAGAATTTTGCTTTGTCTTCCTGAGCTGTTCTTTGAAATCTTCTGTTCTGCCCCTTAACATCCTGCTTTCTTCTCTTTACTTTGGCTTCTTGGGTCTCTAGTGCAATATTTGCACTCTCTTTCTCTCTCTCCCCCCACCCCCTGCCCCTGCCCCCAAGTCCACTCCACGATGCAGCCTTCATTCTGGACTCCTGTCATTACAATAATACCTAATCTTATATCCCTTTTAAACAGTTCTCTCTCTCATCTCTTTCAATGCAGAATACATAATTTATCCCATCTTTCTCAGTCTCTTCCCAGCCCCAAGGTCAGTCCTGTTTTACAACAGTGGAACTATGCAGTATTTGTCCTTTTGTGTCTGAGATATTTCCTTCAACATAATGTCTTCCTTGGTCACCCGTTTTGAATGATATTTCATGAGTTCCTTGTTTTTCAATGTAGCGTAATATCCCATTGTGTGAAATATTTATGATCTTAACAATGTCCAGTTTTCCTACATTCATGCTTCTCACATTCCACGTTCCAATCACTAGTGTCTACTTACAATTGTTCCTCCTCATTTGTTTCTAAATTCAAGGGTTCAATCTCAGGTGTCACATCTACTAGTCTGCTCTAAGTGTTCTCTGTTGGACATAGGGTTTTACGAAGGCTTGTTATTTTGAAGTATATTATGTTGTTGTTGTTGTTGTTGTTTGGTGCCGTCGAGTCATAGACAACTCATAGCGACCCTATGAACAAAAGGCCTGAGCACTGTTTGTACATAGTTTCCAGAGGCAAGCCATTTCGGAAGTGACGCTGCACCTGCTTCCAGGCTTGAAGTATATTATATAACATTTTAAAAAAAACCCAACAAAACCTTGTTGCTTTGACATTTCAATATATATGTAGAGAGACATAGATGTTGTTACTATGTACCGTGGAGTCTGAACCAATTCAGAGCTGGCTCTCCAGTGGGTTTTCAGAGGCTGTAAATCACACAGAAGGAGATTGTCCAGCTTTCTCCCACAAAGCACCTGCTGAATTAGACCTTCAGGCCTTTGGGATTGGGATGGATGGATAGATAGATTAGATTAGATAGATAGATAGATAGATAGATAGATAGATAGATAGATAGATAGATAATCACAAAATATTTTGTCATTTCAGCATTTTTATACATAACAGTTATTCCCTGACATTACTTTCATCATGTTGTTTAACTATCGTGACTATCCATTTCTAAATTTTACCATCAGCCAGATAAAAATTCAGTGCTCCCCAAGTCTGGTATTTATTTTTAAAGTTACTCTCTATTTGTAACATGAAATACTGATCTATTTTTAATGAAGTAGTGTTTTAAAATAGATTGACATTTATAGAAATGGCTGGAAAGGGGACAATGGTATGCAAATTCCAGAAGCCTGGGAAATGCTGCTTTTTCATTCTCACAGCGCCCCCTGTGGTATGTTGGAAGGGTTGTGTTGGCATCACAGAGTGGAGAAAAGTGAGGCACAGAGAGGGGAAGCAACTTGCTCAGAGTCACACAGCAGAACCAGGATGTGCAGCTGGTGCCTGACTTGGAGCTTTTTCCCTGGACTACTTGGTTCCTGAGACCAGCTGATCCCAGGCTCAGGCTTTCCAGCCCATGCCAAGCCTCAGGGTTAGCATGCTTCTCTTTTCCTGCCAGAGAGCCCGTGGAGAGGATGGTGTCTCTGAAGCCATCAAGTTTACAGAAATCCATGCCTCGAGATAGACGCCCTCCAGGCCTGGGCAATACCAAGAAAGACCCTCCAGGCCCTGGCATGCCAGACCCCCCTCAGGCCACCAAGTCTACAGTGTCGCACCAGAGCAGTATGGCCAGTTTGGCGGGAAGTGGCATCTCTGAACGCCTTCCCCAGAAGTCTCTCCGCCATGCTGCTGTGACCCACCTGGAGGTAAGTGTCCACATGGGGGCCGAGGGACCTCAGGGCTATTCCCTGAGTCATCTGGAACTTACTGCCTCTAGCCCTTTGCTCATTCCATTCCTTCTGGGAAAGACTGCCTCTCACCTACCTGCTATGCACAGCCTTGCTCAGTACTCAGCATTCTTCCCGCAGCCACCTCATTGCCAAGTCCCCACACCCAGCCCATCCCTCTTCCAGGGGCTCTTGTCCTTCCCCTGACCACCTGTGGCCATTGCCTGTGTTTCTCTGAATCTCCTTATGACAGGTAGGTGACTAGGTCTTGACACGGTATCCTATTTGTGCCATTCATTACAGCAGTGATCCTTGAACCGTTGTAGGATCACAGACCACTGTGAAAATTGACTTATACTTTAGATCCATTCACAGAATAAAGCAGATATATGCATGTACACACAAACACACATTCTCTCTCTCCCTTTCTCCTTTCCTCCCCTCCCCTCCCTTCTCCTCCTCTCTTCTCCTCTCTCTGCCTATGGGTTTTGGGTTCTCTCTGCCTCTGGGTTCCAGGTCCAGGGACCCTCCATAGCCCTAATGAGCTTGTGAGAAGGAATCTCGAACCTCTTGAGGACAGCTGGCTTCATTCTCTTTGTGTCCTTTACACCTCTTTCCTCTTTCTGTTCCTCACCTCAGGAAATTGATGATAGTCACTTTTCCCAGGGTCTCTAGCCCCTACTCCTCAGCCATGCAGTCCCTGCTGTCAGCCCAGTGTCCATGCTGGGGCATGAGGGCCTGAGAACCCTCATGGTCTGTATCTAGTTGTTGGCAGCTGGGTCAGCCTCCACAGAGTGTCTGTGAATCTTTGGAGTGTGAGGCCTAGTTACTGCCTTGGGCACATTTCTGTGACTTAAAGGGATACAACCTCTTTCAGGAGCCCTGGATGGCATCCCCGGAGACAGACAGTGGCTTTGTGGGCTCAGAAACCAGCAGAGTGTCACCCGTCACTCAGACCCCAGAGCACCGCCTCTCCTACATCAGGTATTCCCGGGGACTCCCGCCCTGTTTAATCCATGCCCATGGGCCATGGAATCCAAGTACATGTGATAACCTCTCTTCTGAGTCAGACCTCACTTCATCTTCCAATGATAGTTAGCTGGCCCATTTTCTTGACAGAAGAGAACAAGGGCTCAGAGAGCAGAAATTACTTGCCCGGTGTCACTGAGTCAATTAGTGACTGGCCAGGAAAGAAATATTTGTTAAAAGAAATAGGTGGATAAGTGAAGGAAGAAAACACTGAAAGGAAAATAGTGTGAAGTGAACAGAAGGCAAAGGCAGAGGGCAGACATGGTGGCTACATGATTTAAAAGCTAGACAGGAATGAACACAGAAGGAAGGGGGGGTTGCAGGCATGGGGTGACATGCTTAAGGTCTTGTGTAGACTGGTGGCCTCCAAAGCCAGGTGCCTGCAGGAAAGTGCTTGAAATTCTATTTCCCTTTGTGCTGTCTAGAAAAAAATTAACTTAATCAACTGTATTAGTGTTCATATATTAGTTGGTAAATGTACAGGTATGCAGTTTATAAACAAATGAGTACATTATAGAGGTACAGCCTCAAGGAAATTGTCTTGCCAGAAGCCTGAATGCTGATAACTCATTGATTTAACAAGTGGAATGGCCTGTGTTAGGTCACTGTCTATCCCTCTGTTGTTCCTCAGCACCCCAGGGACTTCATCCCAGTCATTCACTGCATCTGTGCCCCAGGATGGAGCCTCCCACTCCCAGACCAGGGTTCCTCAGGCCTCCAGAACTGCTACCGAGCCCAACACACCCAAAAGCCAAGGCCAGAGGCACCTCTCCAGCACGGGCAATCCCCACCAGCAGAAGGCGCCCAGCTTTCACCCAGAGCGGGCATTAGTGGGAGAGACGGGTAAGTGGACAAATCTGGACACTAGCATCATGGGTGGTCTGACTACATGGATTAAAAAAAAATAAAAACACCCTCACAAAACCTGACACCTCCAAACCTTATATTCTCTTTTCAGTCAGTCAGTCTCATTGCCACGGGGCCTGGCATTGACTCAGCTGACCCTCTAGCGGGTTTTCAGAGGCTGTAAATGACAGGGGAGGAGATGTCTCATCTTTGTCCTTCAGAGATGCTGGTGGGTTCAAACCACTAGAGAAGTTCTAAACCTTTGGTTCAGCAGTGTAGCTCCCTACACAAAACTCTCTCTACTACTACCCTTTAGGATACAGCATATGTAGGTTAATTATAGGCAAATTTAAAAATGTTGATGCTAGGTGCTGCTAAGTCAACCTTAGTTCACAATGACCCCATCCATATATAAATGGAATCAAATTGTTTTGAGTTTTCATGGGCTGGGATTTGAAAATACATTGCCAGGACTTTCTTCCTAGTCTGACTTAATCTGGAAGCTTTGCTCAAGCCTGTTTAGCTTCATAGTAGCTTCCACTGACAGGTGATTAAGGACTATGCATGAAATACATTCACCAAGAAGTGAACCCAGGTCTCCGACATAGAGGGCAAGAATTATACCACTGAGCCACTACTGCACCTGAAATTACAGTGTGGACAAAGGGAATAAAAGAAAGTCTGCTGAAAATTATCTCTTGAAATGTTTTGGTGTAGAACTGCTGGCCCATGTCCTGCGCCAACATGTGTGCCTGTCTGTTTACGCCTATATATGGATATGGAAGTTTATGTGGACTTGCACTGAACTAAAACTAACATACAGAAAAGAATATAAGCGATTGGGTTTTCATAAAGTGGTCATGGAGCCCTGGTGGCTTAGTGACAAGGAGTTACGCCGTACATGGTTCTAATCCACCAGCTGCTCCTTAGAAGAAAGATGCACCATCTCCTCCCACGCAATTTACAGCCTCTGAAAACCCACTGGAGGGTCAGCTGGTGTCAGTTCCCACTGATGGCAGTGAGTTGAGCGGAGTTGTGAAACCCACTTAGACTAAGAGTGTGAGTCTTGGAAGCCTGTCCCTCCTAACAGGAGCCAGTATTCTGACTTCTACACGGCAAATCAGTTTTGCCTCTTTTTAAGGTTCATCAGTCAAAAGTTTTGTTTTTAGTTTTTTTAATTAAACCTTACTTTTTGAGATAATTATAGATCCACATGCTATTGTAAGAAATAATATATCGAGCTTCCATGGGCCATTTATTTACCCAGTTTCCCACAATTACGGCATCTTACAGATCTAAGGCACAGCATCACAACTAGGGGGATGATGGGGACATGGTCAAGATACAGGACATCTCCATCATCGAAAGGATCCTTCCTGTTGCCCTTTGATAAATGGGCTACATCCTTCCTGCCCCACCTCCTCTCCTTCATGTCTGGCAACCACTCATCTGTTTCCGTCTCTGCACATTAGTCATTTGAGGAATGTGGTATAAATGGAATCTCACAATGTGTGACCTTTTAGAATTGGCTTCTATCACTCAGTGTAATTCTTGATTCAGCGAGGTTGTTGCATTACTTTATATGGATGCATCCTGTTGCACGTTCATTGTTCTTCACACACAAGTTCTTTCTGTTTGATCACTGACCTCTTTGAAAAGTTGTTTAGGAAAACTCTCCTCAGAAACAGACATACTTGCAAAGGTGTGAGCACACATGTGCAAAGGTGTGAACACATATACAGAGATGTGACTGTTGTTGTTGATTGCCCTCGAGTAGAGCACAACTCATAGCGACCCTGTGAACAAAAGGCCTGAAGCCTTTCTATAACTATCGTTGTTTCTCCAGGTTACACAAAGGCAAAGGTATGAGCACATATGTGTAAAGGCGTGAGTGGCCATGTAAAGGTAGGACACACACATACAAAGATGTACCGAACACACACGTGCCATTTCAGGGGCACATAGATGGACCAAGCCAGTCCTAGGACTATATGTTGAGATGTATGACAGAGTCTGGGGGAGCCCAAGGCAGGAGGAGGTGATTAGCTCTTAGCAGAGAGTGCAGTCTTGATGACTTAGAGCTGATGTTTGAATGGTGGACAGCTGGAGGAGTTCTGGTTAGAAATGGCTCAGTGAGCCCAATTTAACACCCCAGTTCCTTAGCAAAAGACTACATCTCCTGGTTCTGGGGTCAGTGGTTTCTTGATGTCCTCAGGAACTACATTTGTAACCTTAACAACTAAGGGTCCTCTCTGTCACCTCACTTTGGTCTTCTCTCTGCTTCTCTGGCAGGCCCATCTTTGGAGTTCAAGGGGAGAAGGCGAATTTCTGAACAGCGTCACCCCAGCCAAGCACTTAACCCATCCCCCACCTCAGCACATGCAGCTGCCCCACCGACCCCCAGGCCAACAGAAACCACCCCCAGCTTCCTTATAACCAGGACAGGCCGAGAGTAAGTTGAATATTTGGGAGAGACAGGGTATAATTAGTCATACAGACAAGGAGTGATACGTTTGAGAAGAGTTGTCAGGGAGGGGACATCTGTGGATCTTGGTCATTGATTAACTTTTCAGGGTGATCAGGAAAGCAGACTTGTGGAATGACTCTGATTTCTGGCTGGCCAGCCAGTTGAATGCTGATGTCATACGTGGAGATGGGAACTGCAACGAGGAGCAAGTTTGCTTGGGACAATGAGTTTTAAAGTGTCAGCAGATGGGTTTTAAATGTCAGCTGGCACTCAGTAAAGAGTTAAGACAGGAAGTCTGAGATCTTGATTAAAAAAATCCTGTGAAAGGAAGTGACACAAACTTGTCCTCTTAAGCCCCAAGTCTCATAAAACCCATCTTTAACGGACTCCACCTCTAGAGAGAGCCAGAGCTGCTGCCCTCCGGTCCTGCAGGGCCCTGCGCTCAGCCCTCCTTTCCAGGAGTTAAGTAGGGGTGGGAGTTCTTTCTCCACCCCCTCTTCGACCTCATGGTTCGCCTTGGAAACCCCAACAATGTCTCCCTGGAGATCGCCAAGGTAACAAACTGCCCTTAGATGCAGGGCATGCTGGGGCATAGGCAAATAGATGCCTCCTCTCTTTCTGCCACATTTCTCTGAGAGCTCATGTTCGCTGGAGCTGGCAGCAGGAGATACTGTATTCCAGGGATCCCCAGGCCAGAACTGACCCCACCAGGAGCTCCTCCACTTGGAGCTGGCCTAAGGAAGAGACACAGAGCCTGCACCAGTCCTTGAGGCCGCCAAGCTGAGTCCAGTGTCCACCTTTCAGGGTTGAGGGGCTCTGTTTTATGAAGAGGTGAGGGGATAGGATTGCCTGCACGTGATGCCAGCACTGTCCATAGAAAGAAGCCTTAAAGATTCAGAAAGAAGAGAAATCCAGAGAGTATTTGCCATCTAGATGCAGATAAGAGGTTGCAGGTAAGAGAGTTAGCTGGATTTGGTGCCCTGCATTTCCCAGCATGCTCTCATTGCCCCCCTGAGTCCCATTGGTGGCAGGAAGCACCCTGTGGGGCCTCCATGTCCTCTCTTCATGCCCAGCACTTTGCTCCTTCTTGAAACCCAGCACCTGGCCTTTCCTGAGCACCTGGGAGATGCCAGAGTCCCATGAGCTCTAAGATGGGAAAGACTTGCTTTTGGTCAGCTGGTGGCCTGGAAAGACAAACACCTTCTGCCAGGATGGAGCGGTAGGCAGGAACACCCCAGTGGAAGTCTTGGGGGAAGAGACTGAGCAAAGACAGGAAGGATGGTTAGGGCTTCTGCAGATAGAGGAAGAGGAAGAAGGGCTGTCCAGGGACTCAGGCAGGCCAGAGGGCAAACTTCAGAGTGGAACATCAATCATTGTCCTCTATATTCTGCATCTGAGAACTTGTCACTGATGTGTCACAACAGCTAAACAGAGGCCCTGAATCTGGGATGTGTAAACCTCAAAGGAAGGCTTGTCCTGAACCCAGGAGGATATCAAATGGTATGGCTAGAAAAGCAGGTACATAGAAACGTTCTGGAATCATCATAGCAGAGAAGGGGAGCCTTAGCCTGCTCAGCTGGGCCTGGAGGCTTTGAGAGGCCAAGGCTGCCACTGGGTCCAGGCAGCATTCTTGGGGTAACTGCAGCCCTGCTCACTGTGCAGCTTTTGTGTCTGTCTCCACCCTCACCCCAGCCAGGCCATCCGAGAGCTGCAAGAGGAGGTGTCCCGGCTTCGCCTGCAGCTGGAGGACAGCCTGCACCGGCCATCGCAGGCCAGCCTGACGCTCCCAGCATCCTCCTCTACCCGCCCCACCCGGGCCCGGGATCGCCTAGCAGATTCCTCAGTTGCGGGGGGCACCCACTCTGGCAGGTAGGTAACCCCAAACTTCTCTGTACTTTGATGGTAGCTACAAAAGACAGACCTGGCTTTCTCTAGCCTTCTTTCAGATGTGTAGACCCAGACACTGCCATACCAGTTCACATAACCATCCATTCATGCCTGCATTTTTTATTTACTTTTTTATTTTTTCCCTTGGTTTTTTTTTTTAAAGATTTTGGCACTTTCAAGATTTTTTTGTAAAGACTTTATTTACTTTTTAAAAAAACTTTTATTAGTTTTTGTGTGTTCCATCCAATCGGATCTGACTGGTACAGGAGTAGACTGCCCCTCCTTCTCCAACAGAGCGTCTGGTGGATTTGAACCACATACCTCTGGGACTGCAGTGCAGCTTCTTGCCACTAGGCTACAAGAGCTCTTTTTCTTGAAATTTTAACAGAAGTTTACAGAAACCTTTTATTTCCATTCATTTATTCATTGTTGCACATTTTCCTCCCTACAACCCCCTCCCCAGTTTGCTTTTCTCTTTAAAAAGATTCTTTCATTGTTGCACAGTTTCCTCCCTCCCTCCACCCTCAGTCCACTTGCTATGCAGCTCTTATTCTGGACTGTTGCCATGCAAATAATACCTAATCATATATTTCTTTTAGACAGTTCTTTCCCTTATCTGTTTCAACGCAGTGCTCATTATTTATTCCCTCTTTTCTTAAGTTTCCAACCCCCATGTAAGTCCTTATCACCTTGTAACAGTGGTATTATGCAGTATTTGTCTTTTTGGGACTGAGATATTTCTCTCAGCATAATGTCCTCCGGGGTCACCCATTTTGCATAATATTTTATTAGTTCCTTGTTTTTCAGTGATGTGTAGTATTCCATTGTGTGAATATATCACAGCTTATGTATCCATTCATTTGTTAATGGGCACTTGGGTCGCTTCCATCTCTTTGATATTGTGAACAATTGCTTGCATTTTTTAATAAGTAGTGTTTGATGCACAAAATAAAATATAAACGTACATGTTCATAATAAAGCACAATACAATGACTATGCCTGAGCCCCCCATCAGCTGAAGAGCTGGAAAGTTTCAGCAGTGCTGGCCCTTCCATTCATCCACTTAATTCTTGTTCATTTATAATGATGGCTTATAAAGTCAGGAAGCTCTGATGGCCTAGTGGGTGAAGATTTGTGCTGCCAACTCAAAGGCAGGCAGTTCAAATCCACCAGCTGCTCCTCAGTAGACAGATGGCCATCTCCTATTGTTTCATTTACAACCTCTGAAAACCCACTGGAGGGTCAGCTATGAGTCAGTACTGACTTGATACAGTGAGTTGCATTGTATAAAGTGAACTAACATATTTTTAGTATTTTATTTTGGGAGGAATTACAGGAGGGTTTTAATAGACATTACCTAACTAATCCTCTCAGCAACTCTCTAAAGGAGTCGTGGGGTTTTTGTTGTTGGGGTTTTTTTTGTTTGTTTTTAAAGGAGTCATTCTTATCTCCATTTAATAGATGAAGAGACTGGGTATCAGAGAGATTCAGGGCTATTTTCTATAAACCAGACTTCAGAGTCTTCGATCTTGGCTTCCATGTCTTCCTCCCTTATACTGGAAGTATTTCTCCAGGTTGACCTTTTTCCTAATAAAATCTGAAGGCTGCATAAAAGTAAGCTGTCCACTGACACTGTCTTTCTTTGCCTTTTGCTAGTAAATCCACAGAGAGGTTGTCTTCTGAGCCTGAAGGTGCAGAGCAAGCCGTCTTCACAGGCAGGAGGCGAGCCCGGTCTTCCTCAGTGCCTCGGGAGGTGTCCCACCTGTCCCTAAGTAAGTGACCACCTACCAGGGCTGATTTCTGGAGACCACAGCCTGGGACTACAGCAACTTCCTTAAAGGAGAAGTTTATGTGGTTTTGGTTATAGAGGCAATTATAGTGATTTGAATAACAGCTACCCTGTTCCTGTTCTGCACCCTGCTGCATGTAGCCCTCTGCTTCCCTGCAAGAGAATCATATCATCCACATGCTGCAGGCAAGAACACTGGAGCCCAGGAAGTCCTATAGTGAGGAGCTAGGAGCCTAGCTTGAGTAATAGGCTTCACCCCACTTCTCCTTCTGGACCTGGTGACCTTGACCAGGCTGTTTACCTGTTTTGAGCAGTTAAAGACCCCAGCACAGTGCAGTAAGACCAGTGTGTGCCTCACGGGGCTGCCATGACGATACCTGACACAGGACGTACAAAGCTAGCACTCAGTTCAAAGCCCACATGCCCTTTCTGTCAACTGCTGTCACTAAAGAGCAGATCTGGGCTGAAAACCCCAGTGGCATCTGCCCCAGCACCTCACTGAGCTGTGTGGCTCCCACACCCTGACTTTCTCTGATCCCGTCTCTTTTGCTTTCAGCCTCTGAATCTGAACCAGCCTCCCCCCAACTCTTCTCTGAGAAGAGCAGGACTACCAAGGACAGCTCACGGACAGCTCGGGACAGAGAGAGAGGAAGGGACAGCAGTGGAAGGCCAGACAGAATCACCTTCCGGGGCCACTACACAGGTGGGCTGGGGGGGAAGCCGGAGTGAACGCCATCTCTAGAGAGGTCTCTTCTGTCATGAGCAACATTTTCCATTTACCCAGCGGGCCACCCAAGTATTCTCAATTAAGTGTTAGGTGGTTCAAAGGCACCGTCAGCTCTTAGGGAGAATGATGAGGCAGTCAGTTCCCTAAATATTTACAGCCCCAGAAACCCTACAGAGCAATTCAACACTGTCCTGTAGAGTTGCTTTGTGTTGGAACCAAGGCTTTGTTTTGTTTGGCTTGGGTGATTCAGAAAACATCAGAGAGTGTGTGTGTGTGTGTGTGTGTGTGTGTGTGTGTGTGTGTGTGTGAGAGACCTTCATGAATCTCAATTCCATGAAGATTTTCTGATGCCTCCTCTTCTCCAGAGGGAGCTCTGGTGGCCTAGAGGACAAGGAGTTGTGCTGCCAATGCAAAGGCAAGCAGTTCAAATCCACCAGCTGCTCTGAGGGGAAAAGATGGGCACCCTCCTCCAGTGCACTTTACTGCCTTGGTCAGCTCTGAGTAGTTTTGAGTTGATGGCAGATAACAACACCTCCTCCTGAGAGCTCATGATCCACTGGGGAACGCTGGGCAGTCAGCGTCATAGACACGGCCCTATTAAGTTCTCTCAGCAGCCCTGTGAAATCAGCACTGCGGGGCATTCTTATTTTACAGCCTCTCAAGTGCACTAGCGAAAGAGTCAGGGGTGTATCAGGGACCTCAAGCCCAAACATTCAAATCAATCAGTGACTCAGGGAGTCAATCACAATTCATCATAGCTTCCCGTTTCTTCCTGACAGCTTGCAAATTCTGGCCCAGCCTGAATGCTGCTGCATGTCAGGGTCTAGGCAGCTGATACTCAAATGGGATCTGAGATGAAAGAGGGGGCGCTTGGGGAGAGCTTACAGTAAACATGTGTGTTCATGCATGTGTGTGTACCCTCTTATGCATACACATATAAGGCGTGTGTGTGTGTGTGTGTGTGTGACAGAGAGAGAGTTCATTCCATACAGAGGAAGACGAGAGAGCGTTATACCAAAATCCTGCCCAGTTATACTCCCAGTGGTGACTACTGTTTCCCCCCCCCTCAGGGCAAGAGTACCATATCTTGTCCCCCAAGACTGGCCAAAGGGACAGCGACACAACTTCCTGTCCCCACTGCCCGCCTGTTAGGACCCAGGACCTAGGTAAGTGACGGTAACCCAGAAGTGGCCAGGACAGCTGAGGATGGATCTTTGTGGTTTCAGGGAGGGTACTTTTTTTTTTTAATTTCCATTCATTCATTGTTGTAGATTTGTTCCCTCCCAAGGCTACCCCCCACCCCAGAACACTACCCTCTTGGAAAAGTAAAAGAAAAGATTCTTTCATTGTTTTACAAACCCTCCCCCAGGTCCACTCCACCATGTAGCCATCGCTCTAAACTCCTGTCATGACAGAAATACCTAATCACATACCTCTTTTAAACAGTTTTCTCCCTCCTCTGTTTCAGTGCAATATACATTATTGAACCCATCTTACTCAGTCTCTATCTATGGTCAACTGATTTTTGACAAGGAGATTAAATAAGTCAAGTGGGGAAATGACAGCCTTTTTAACAAATGGTGTTGGCAAAATTGGAAAAATATCTGTAAAAGACTCAAGCAAGACCCACACCTCACTCCATACACAAAAACCAACTCAAGGTGGATCATGGACCTAGGACTAAAACCAAGGACTATAAACTTCATTACAGGGAGGGTACTTTTTATAGAAGTGGAGTCTGCCCTGGGCTCAGTGACAGGCATGGACAAGAAACTGGGATTTTTGCGGGGCTTCTTAGCCCAGCCAGCGTGTCCTCCCAGGAGACCTATTGCTACCTGAAGCCACCCTCCTTGACACTGACCTTGAGAAACTATGGATATTATTTGGGAGCTTCCAGAAGGACCTTGATAGGGGTTACCAGGCAGCAGGGATTGGGCCTTATCTCTTCCCCCACCTCTACTTCTCATTCTGTCCCCTCACATCCAAAAAGAAAGGCCTATTGGGGAAAAGAGTGACCAGAGAATCTAGAGACCCAAATTGTTGTCCCATTTCTGCAGTTAACATGCTGTAAACCCATAGGCAAGCTAAGTTATGGGGGTCTCTAATGTGGGTTAGGGTTAAACAGGATTTCTCCCTCTCAGCTCTGAGACTTTGGTAAACTACTCGGCCTGTAAAACGGGAGTGATGAGAGTAGGTAGCTTGTGACTTGTTAGCTGAGATGACGCATGAGAGCCCTTGGCGGAGAGCCCTGCTGCAGAAACGCTCAGTCCACGTGGTCGTCGGGGTGCTGGGGTTACCTGTGGCTCAGTGCTGTCGGCTCCAGGACCTGGTTGTTCAGTCACAATCATGTCCTGACACCTCTTCCTCCTCCTAGATGGTGCTGCCACCAGGGACCCACTAGAGCCATCTCTGGTCGATACGCCCCGGTGTCCCATGTGTCATCAAGTCGTCTCTCCCTCTGAGAGGGACAGCACAGACCCAGCCACCTCTGGTAAGCAATGTTCCTCAGTCTCTTTACTCAGCTAGACCCTCAGACACCTAGACAGGGCTGGCACCCGGGTAGGGCTGGGGGTGACCGCTTTCCCTGTTTGAACTGAGCACATTGAGCTCCTACAGCGAGGTGTTCCCCAGGGTGGCAAGCAAAGCCCCAGCTCTGACCGAGGAGCGTCTGGTCACACCCTGATCTCTGCTTGGTCTTCCCACATGGTCAGATTGAGTCTCTGTGCTGTGCCCTCCCTGATAGGAGCAGAAAAGCCTGCCACAAGGAGAAATGCGCCTTCCTCCTCCAGTCCCAAGCAGCGGAGCAAGCAGGCTGGGTCTCCATCGCGGCCACCCCCTGGGCTGTGGTACCTGGCAGCTGTGCCCCCAACACCGGCCTTTGCCTACGTCTCATCAGTGCCTGCCACACCTTACCCACCAGCCACTGTGTAAGAACCCTTCTAGTGACCCTCCCAGCCTCTTTAGGTTTGGCAAGCAGACCAGGTCAGGGCAGCTGAGAACCCAGCAGTCCCGGCCTCCTGTGTCTCACGCTGCATGGGGACTGTCAGGCCACTTGACACACGTGTGGTTATACAGCACACCCTGAGCTTCCAGGGAGATGTTTGGCCCAGCAAGCGACACACAGTGATGGGGACTAGAGAAGGGCTCTCTGCCTGGGGCTTACAGCCTCATCAGAATCTAAGCCTCTGAGCATCTTTCTATTCTTTGTGGGTCTTTTCTGCAACCCTGTAATGCGAACTCTGAAAAACAATAGACTTTATTTTTACACCCATTTGATAATTACAGACAGTTGAGGAGTTAGGACTGTAAGTTCTACGCACCACCATCCCCAATACACGCATAGAGTTTCCCTTTTAGTAAAATATTTATGTGGTCCCTGTGTTAGAAGTGTTGTTAGGTTCCATCAAGTCGAGTACAACTAGTTGTGACTATGATCCCAGAGATGCATGGTTCAAATCCACCAGATGCTCTGCTAGAGAAGGAAGAACAATTCCTCCTGTACCAATCAGATCTGATTTGACGGTACGCATACACAAAAATAATAAAATAACATATAAAGAATAAGGATGTCAGTTAAAGGATAAATGCCATCAGACTGCCACAGCAGCCTTGGGGTCTTTTAACTTCTCGAGGCCTCAGGCTGCACCCTTCCAGTCTCAAACTGTCTTGGATGGGGGTCATGGGGAAGGAGAAGGTCCTTGGGCTTTAGTGCTCAGCATTTCTGGCCCATGGTAGGGGTGTTAGCTTGGGCAGCTCACTTTGCTCCTCTGTGCCTCAGTTTCTTCCTCAGTTAAATAGGTTGTGGTAAAGGCTTAAGTAAACTAACACATGGGGAGTATCTAATTCTAAATTTGCGGCTGACCACTCTGTGCCTCAGTTTCTTCCTCAGTTAAATAGGTTGTGGTAAAGGCTTAAATAAACTAACACATGGGGAGTATCTGATTCTAAATTTGCGGCTGACCACGCCCTGCAAGCTCGTCCAGCTGCCAGACAGCTGACCTGAGCATGCTCAGTGGCAAGGTCAGTGGGCCTGTGCTGCCACCTGCTGGCCAGCAAACACTGCACGTGAGGCTTTCTAGCTTCAAGAATGGTTTTCTTGTAGCCCTTGCCTTGGGGTCCATAGGGAATTGCACAACTAATTTCTCTGTCACTTTGAATCTACCAGCACCTCCTAGGGTGAAAGATTGATAATCTCCTCCCATGTGATTTACACCCTCAGAAACTTGCTGAAGGGTCTGCTACCAGAGATATTTGCTCTAGGGGCAATTTTGGGTGTCTTTCTGGTTATACTGATCATTGAGCTTAAAGAAGTGGGGGGGGGGCATGTGGGAACTCTAAAAAATATGCCAGATAGTCTCTTAGAAGAGAATGTGGGATCTTGTCAGCTGTCTTCAAGAAGCCTGTTCAGTGGATTCAGGTGGAGTTTCTCTGCTCCATACTCTCACAGCCTGTGAATGATGCTGGCCTGTGGCAGGTCCAGCTTGAACTCTCAGCTGTCCCTTTTCAGCTCACTGACCTTAGTAGCTGACATTCACAGAGCACTGATTTGACCAAACAGTGTATGGAGCTTTCTACTTGAACGTGCACTTCTGGTCTACCCTAGGAGAACTGGTGGTGGGTACGCACTTGACTGCTGACCAGAAGGTTAGAGGTTTGAACCCACCCAGCATTTCTACAGAAGAAAGACCTACAGTCTCGTAAAGAGTATACCCAAGTAAACCCCATGGAGTTCCATTCTCTTCATTCTGGGATTTGTTGTGAATTAGAATCAAATCAACCGCAGCAAACCCACTGCGGTAGAGTCAGTTCTGCCGCAGAGCTAGCCATCCTCAGGTTCTGAGACTGTAACTCTGCATGGGCTTCGCTGACGTGTTTCTACACTTAACCTGCCACACTACCAGGGTGTCATCAGCCACAGTAATCAATAGCTAACTATGGCCATTTTTTATTGGGAAATGGAGGCACAGGAAGATGAAGGAGTTTGCCCAGGGGCACACAGCAGTCAGTGCGATGGCCAGGAGGCACTTGGGTGCCAGCATCTAGGCATGAGCTTTTAAGGCCAGTGTGCCTTCTACCTCCTCCCACATCACTGACCTCTTCTCCAAGCTTCACTTTCCTCATCTATGTATTAAGGATAAGGATGTTGACTGAATAAATAAGATCGCACTGGCTCATGTATCCCAGAGCCTGGTACATGGGTGATGCCAGCACGGGGTGGGTAGTGCGCTCCACCCTTTGAAGAACTGCCAGTTTCCTACACTGCTGCACCATTCACCTTCCCACCAGCAGTGTGAGGGCTCTGACTTCCCCATATCCTTGCCAACACTTCTGTTACCTGTATTTTTAGTCAAGTAGGTGGATCTAGAGTACATGAAGAGGCTGCTCACTGGTGTTTACATTTCCTAGATCCACCAGCCACTTCATGGGAGAAAGATGGACAGTTCCTTCCCCAAAGATTTACAGCCCTAGAAACCTGGTGGGAGGGCGTGGTCTCCAGGAGCTGGTGTTGACTTAGCGGCCAGTTTCTGGGAGATACAAATGGTGAATGTATTCAGCTACCAGCCAAAAGGTTGGCTATTCGAGCCCACCCAGTGAGGCCTCGGAAGAAAAGCCTGCTGTTCACGTCTGCATAGCCAGCCAGAGAGAACCCTGTGGAACCCACCTCACTGACACACAGGGGCCACCATGGGGTGGAGCTGACTTGAGAGCTACCAGTTTTGTTTTATTTTTTTTTTCCCCCATTTGAGTGAGTCTACAACTCATATTGGCTTTCACCAGATCATTCATACACATTTTGTTTTATACCATTGTAATTGTTATTTAATGTGATCATTCATATACATTTTGGGTTTTGTTTTGTTTTGTTTAAAACGTATTGCGATGGGAAAGTCTGCGGTTAGGGACCTCTCTAAAGTACTCAAGAGCAACGGTGTCTCTCTGGAGACTAAGGTCCGCCTGATACAGGCTATGGTTTTTGCAATCACTTGTTATGCATCAGAGAGTTGGACAATGACTAGGGAGGATAGAAGGAGAATTGATGCCTTTGAGCTGTGGTGCTGGA